CCCCAAAAAAAAAAACCTACCTTATGTTAGTGAATTGAATCTCTTCTGTTCAGCTTGATTTGAATCCCCACAGAACGACAAAGGGGGCAGCTCAGCACAATACGAAATGAAAGGCGTCAAATTCTCTGTGTCACGTCTCCCCTTTCATGTGCACCCACGTCGGAGGTGTCGGTGGAAGCTGAGTTGGGGAGTGCGGCGGGCGGCCTTTGCGTGCTGTGTTTGTAGAGGCGTGACATTAGCGCTGACCCGGCGCCTAAGCGCAGCCGTAATCCAGCTTTAATTGGCACCTCGTCGGGGTCGTGCGGGTCTCCCGTGACAGCCCCCAACCATCAACCATCCCCCCCCTTTACACCCGGCGCGCATATTGTCAAACAACGTCTCGTTACTGTCAAAGCTTCAATGTCAAAAAGAGCATCGGGCGATTGCTCATGTCTGCCGAGTCCTCGTTTCTTCTTCCTTGACTCGCGTTTAGTGTGATGTGAATTCTGAACGCAGCCACGTCCAGGTTTTGCATTTCTTTCACTGAAAAACTGTTGAAAGATCGATCGCAAAACGGTAGCATTGGAACAGGGGTGTGTAGCCTTTTTTTTTTTTCTATCTCCCCCCCCCTCGCGCTTTGGACCGATGGCGCTCAAAAAGCTTCGGCCGAGACGTCGCCGGCCCCCGAGCGCCATCGCCCTTTGGCCGAGCCGTCCAAATGCGTCTCGCCGGAAACGCCCGCAGAAAAAGTGTTCACCAGTCTGGCGATTGCTCACTATGCGGATGTTTGCCTTGGACATTTTCAAAGGGAGGGCAAAAAAAAATTAGGATTCAGTTAAAAGTTAAATGAGCATCATTTTTAGTCTTTACTCTCCTTTGTTTTTTTACATTATGCACGACTCTCATTTATTGTGCTATAATCTAACTGTAACATGTATTCATTACACATTTTGATGCCTTGATTGATTGGTTTAATTTTTTTTTTTTTTGGGGTGGGGGGGGGGTTAGGCTTTGAGTGTTTTATTTTTGCTCACATGTTTGACTTTGATATATTTATTTATTTTATGTCACTGTGCTTTATTTGTCGCTTTTGACATTTTCCTTGATCTGAATGTTTTTGGACTCGTTTGCGTGCGTTTTTCTTTGCTTCGGGTTTTGCGTTTGACCTTGAGCTGCATACGAAGCATGACGCTTCTGCTCCTTGGTCCTTTTCCTCATTGCCTGATGTCCTTTGTTTTGGTGTTGCGTCGCTTTTGTTGATTTTTCTTTCACTTGAGCTGGTCTCACTCTTCCTCCATGTTTGGCCGTTTAGTTGCGTTTGACATCGACGAGTGTCGTACCGATTTGTTTGGCCGAATGTTTCTTTTGCCGCGCTTGTGTATTTTGGCCCCGCCGCCTGTTTTGCCGCTCGACTTGTGCACCACTAATCAGCGTCTTCCGCCGTGCCTTCCGTAGCGGCCAACCGTCCGAGCGCCCCCGTGGCGGCGGGCGCGCTGGTGCCGCCGCCCCGCCCCCCCTCCCGGCCCAAACTCCCCATGGGAAAACTCGGCGGCATCACCGAAATGGTGAGTTGAAACAAAAAGGCTTGAAACGCTTGTCGCCGGTGCGATGAGGCCCGCGCCGAGAGCTCGTCGTCGCTGTCCTCCAACGCCTCGCTCGGCGCCGCCAACAACCCCGCTGTGGGTAAGGAGCGCCGACGGCGTCGGCTCTGTCCCTTTCGTCGTCCCTTTGCCTCGAGTCCTCCTTCGTTTTCCATCCATCTCCTCTCTCGTCCGTCCTTTTGAACTTTCTTTCATCTCCCTACTTCGTATCTTGTCCACCTTTTGTTCCTCCTTTTTCTGCCTTCCTTCTTTGGGCGATTCCTTCCTCAGCTCGGGACTGTTTTTTCGGCCATCCGTCTCCTGACGCTCTCGGTCTTGTCGTCGTCCAGGCACGTCCCGCGGCCCCAGTCCCGTGACGCTGGCGTCCCAGGATGCTCTGCCCATCGCCGTGGCCTTCACGGAGGCCGTCAATGCCTACTTCAAAGGCGCCGACCCCGCCAAGTGAGTCCGGCGCGCAAGGCGCGCATGCGTTGGTCCGACGTCCGTCCGTCCGTCACGCGCTTCCTTTTCTTTTTCGCTTGCCGCACCGCTTATCGTCCTTGCGCTCGGAGGGGCGGCGACCCGGTTCTCAAATGATTCAAAGTCCTGGCGTGGCCCGCCTTGCCTGGCGTCGCCCTTGCGCGGTGGCCGACGGATGATGCCCAATGGCGGGAAAACGGCCGATTGGATTTTGGAAAGCCAGGGTTGACGTTTTGGAAACGCCGCCCTGCTTTGGAACGAAGGGAATACTCGACGATGCGTCATTGGCGCTCGCTTGCTTTCTTCCCTTGGTGGATGGCTCGCCTCCTTCCTTTGCATTTTCTCCCCCCTCTGCTCGCCCGCCTTCTCGCCCTCATCCGTCCCCTTCTTTGTCTTTTTCCCTGGCCGCATGTCTTGCTTTCTTCTTTTTGTCCAGCTTTCCTGCCTTCCTCGCTCACTCACTTGCCGTCCTCGGGTGGCTTTTGCGCCGTGGTCTTCAACTGTCCCCTCCTCCCATGTGTCAAAGTCAAATGACGCCACCCAAAAATAGCGCCAATCGAGAAAAAAAACCGCACCGAGTGCTCCACCCTTGCATTGGGGCGAAAGAGGCAGCACAGGAAGAAAATTGCGATTGGAGCTTTACAAATACAACTCCCCCCACCCCCCTTTTTTTTAATACAGATGGGGAACAATATATGCCTTTGAGGACTTTGATGCGTTTCCTGCCTGTCTTTCCGTGTGAATCTTTGTAGGAATGTCGCTCGTGGAACTGGATGCTCCTTTTGCGTTTGCCGGCTTTTACGTTGACGGCTCGCACGAGCCCCGGCGATGTTTCTCGAAGCGAGTCGATGTTGCGTTTGAATTTTCAAGATGCCTCCCATCGACCTTTTTGCCGCAGGTGCATCGTGAAGATCACGGGCGACATGACGCTGTCTTTCCCCTCGGGCATCATCAAGGTGTTCACGGGCAACCCCTCGCCCGCCGTCCTCGCCTTCAAGTTGAAGAACACGAGCCAGCTGGAGCAGATCCTCCCCAACCAGCAGCTCCTCTTCAGGTGAGCTTCCCCCCCCCCCCCCCCCCTCGGGCTTGGGGGAGGGTGGAATTGAATTAGCCGGCGGACCCTGACGTGTCATCAAGCTGTCAGGCAAATACTTTCCAGCAGACGTGCGCAGCCGGCGCGCGCCTGCAATAGCAAACAACGGCCAGCTCGGAAGGCCGCACGCCGCCATTTAGGGCGGACACGCTCCCGCTTGCGGTCAGGCTGCGGGAAAGGGGGAAAAAAAACTGAAACCGAGCGTCTGATTTCGCCCGTTTTGCGATGTCGTCAGCATTTTCGTTGTTGCAGGTGGCGCAAGTAAAAATGGAGCCAAAAAGAAAGACAGGAAGTCAAAGTTTGAATGATGACATGGATTTTTTTTTTCCTTTCTTTTGAGCTTTTTCATCAATGATAAGGTGACTTTTGGGACACCCTGTCGCACGTGGAAACAACCCCCAGCGTTTGCCACGCAAGCTTGCGCTCGCCAGGAATGAAAACTCCCCAGCGATCCGGACACGTTGACAACGGGGGGCCCGGCCCGAAATATAAACGCAGGCCCTTTCCGGAAGCGCATTCAAACCTCAGCAGGAATAGCGGCAACTCGAGCCTGTGTGCGGACGATACAGCGCGAGGTGCATGTCGGGTGTGAGCACAAAGCGGCAAAAACAGTCGGCGAGACAGCGCGACAAATTTCACTCGGGCGCGTGCACTTTGGATTCCGCATCATTGGCGTTTCGTCCGGCCGAGGTCCGAAGTTGCGTTTGAAGCATCGGCCGCCCGCTTTCCCCTCCGCCGGCGGCAAGGAAGCAAACGGGCCGCCGCCATTCACACGAGGGCGGGTCGGCGCGAGAAAGCCGAGCCCGGCGGAAGGTGTCGCGAATGGCCGAGCGGGCCCCGATGGCCGTTCCGCAAGCCGGGCCTTCTGACCCCGCGCGCGCCTCTCATGTCGCGCAGCGATCTGTCCCAGGGCGACTCGGAGTGCAAGGACTTCTGGTTCAACATGCAAGCGCTGACCGCCTACCTCCGCAAAGCCTCGGAGCAAAACCCCGCCGCCTCCTACTACAACGTGGACGTCCTCAAGTACCAGGTCAGTCCTTGCCGCGCCATCCGCTGTCGCGGGAAGCGGCCGAGGGAGCGCGAAAACATGCGGCGATCGTCCCTCGGCCCAATCGACGGGATTTTCAATCTGAAATTGCATTTCCTATCCCGAAAAAAAAAAAACAACCCCCCCCCAAAAAAAATGCCTTGTGCAAGAATGTCATTGATGAAAACGTCCCCGAGTCCAATATCAAGTATTGAACCGTTGCCGCACCCTGATCTGCACCTTCCGATGTCTGCGCCTTGACCACCAGGGGGCGGTGTAACACACGTAGGTTTGATTCCGAAAGAGAAGAAGACCGCGGCGACGGCCTTGCGACCAGAGTCACTTTTCGCGGCCGCGAAGTGAAACGGCCTGGGGTTGCGAGTGCGGGCTCGTGTTACGTACGTGCCAAACGCCACAAAACCTCTCAATGTGCCATTTTCACCTGTCGCGGCTCACCTGTTTTCCGGCTTTGGTCACGCGAAGGCCGCCGCGTCGAAAATTGCGCTCAAACGTGAACTCCGACCGAACCGGCCTCGGGCGAGTACGGCGACGGGGAGGGAGGGAGCCGGAGCGCCACACGTGGAGACTCCAGAAAGGAAAAGACAAAGGAGGAGCTCACCTCACCTCACCTCACCTGGCTTGCGCCGTGCGTCCCCAGGTGCGGTCGGACGGCATCCGCTCCACGCCGCTGAACCTTGCCGTGTACTGGAAGTGCGCGCCGGGCTCCACCGACCTGCGCGTGGACTACCGCTACAACCCGGACTCCATGGCGGCGCCGGGCCCGCTCGGCGGCCTGCAGATCCTGGTGCCCGTGGACGGAGGCGTCACCGGCATGCAGTCGCTGCCCGTCGCCCTTTGGTTCGGACCGCACACACGCGCGTACATGCACGATAGAGAGGAAAAAAAATCCATCAAGTCCCAGCCGTCAATTTGGGTCTCCTAACTACTTTGCGCTCATCTCAGTGGCGCCGTTTCCAAAAGTGCCGACTTCCAAAGGGCACCGGCAAAGCGAAGCAATTGCCGGTCCCGCGCCTGTCGTCTTCCAAAATGACTTTGATGCATTTGGGCGGAGATGTCAAACGTCACTGGACCCCAGTTTGAGAAACCCAAAAGCGTTTCAAGTTTTTCTTGTCCTCGAATAGGCACTTGTAGTTTTCAAGCGTCAATGTCCCGCTGTGCTTTCAGGAACGCCGAGCAGAATAAATGTCTTTGGAAGCTGAGCGACATTTCGGAAAAGTCTGAAAACCAAGGTGGGTTGGTCTTTTGGAGCCAGACCGCGCGGCCTTGAACCCCGTTCCGCCGCCGCGTGATCCAAAAAGGTCCGCTCAAGGCTTTTGGAGTGATCGCAGCGCGCCGTCCGCAATCGCTCACCTTTTCAGGCGAGATTTGGAAAAGAATGTCAAGTGCGCCAAATTGGGAACGCGGAAGACGACGGTCGCAAACGAGCCGCGAGGGTCATCGTGCTGTGTTGCTGAGGACAAAGAACAGATGTGGTGCGCGCCCACGCGTGTTCCAATCGAAATTGTTTGCAGGGTGAATCGTTTGCCATGCTCATTTTGTCGGCTCGCATTTTGTATTCGCATTGGGCGAATTGGTGACCGTCTGTCAAACCGCTGCTTGTTTCGCATTTCGCTGCCACCATAGCTAGCGCCCCGAACTCACTTCCCCCCCCCCCCCCCCCCCCCCCCCTCACAACTTAAGGCAAAAAAAAAATGGAGCGCTGGCTTGTCGCGCGAAATCCTCTCCAAGTCGGGGTCACTCCTAAATGTTGTTAAGTTGATGCGCGTTGGTCATCCGGCGGCAGCGCGATTGATTGTGTTGCTTTTGAACAGGCGCCGGCTCCCTGCGGGCCAAGTTCGACGTGTCGGCCGGCCCGTCCAACCCGTCCACGCTGGCGGTGCAGTTCATGAGCGAGGGCGGCACGCTGTCGGGCGTGGACATGGAGCTGCAGGGCGCCGGCTACAGGCTGTCGCTCAGCAAGAAGAGGTTTGCCACGGGTAAGGCCGCGCCCACAAACGCCACCCCCAAAAGGGCTTTCGCCCAAAGAGAAATACGCTCGTGAGCACAACCCCGCGTACGACGACTTTCTCAAGATGTCCTTGTGTGAAGACACAGTGGCCACAAAACGAGTTGTTTGGTGTTTTGACGTCCCAGTTGACTCGTCAAAAAGTCCAAACTGAAGTTGCAACAAACAAAACACGCCGAGGATCGCTTGACAGGAAAGGCGGCCAATTTTAAGTTCTCGTCGGGCTTCTTTCAAGGTGGAAACCTTTGCCGAGCGGCGGGCAGACATTTGCCGGCACTTTTCATGTCCGAGGAAATTTGGCGAACGTTTGAGGGAACCCTGACGCCGTGCGAAAGGCCATTTTGCTTTCTTGGGCAGCAGTCGCAAACGTTGACCCCTTCCGTGGGATCACTCGCTCAAAATCTCTTTTCAACACAACAAGTAACATTCTCATGCAAAAAGCTTCTGTCTGAGGACGCTGTCGTGGGCTTTCTCAACGGGTCTGTTTTTCTCAGCGACGACTTTTTCACCATTTGATTGTTTAAAAAAAAAAAAAAAAGTGTCAAGTCAGATATCATCGCAAAGCAAGTGAGGAGCGCTTTCCAGATATCAGCTTGACTTGTCACGTCGTCTGGATGTGAAGCAGAAAGGCGCACGGAGCGAGCCCTGATTTCTTGCGCTTGTTGTGCCGTCTCAGGTCGCTACATGGCAGATTGCTGAGGCTGTTTGTGGAGGGACCATTTCAAAGGCCTTCTCTCACTTTGGCCGCCGGCGGGAATCACGACAACAAAGCAGCACTGAGTACCGAACACTGTTGAGTGGAAAAACTCAAAGCCAGGCAAAGGTGAGCTTTGAGGGCCACGCGTCGCTTCGGACCATTTTCAGGCTCTTGATACCGAACGGAGCGCTTGATCTCTTTGACGTCAGAAAAAGAAGGCGACGTTTTGGGGCTTTTTTTTCTCTCTCACCGTAACCTCGCACACTGTATCGATATTAACAGCTAGAAAAACCTTCACCATCATTTTGTTGCTCTTGAATTGTGGATGGCGTGCAATGAAGTAAGAGTCGGTCTCGTAGCACAAAAAGAGAGCGTGAGAAAAGAAAAAGCCAGGACCTCAGTGCCTCCTCGCAACGCTGCTCGTTTTTTTGGAAACGAGCGTTCGGGTTTCAGGGCTCTTTTTTAATTCAATGTGTTTTAAAACAACTGTAAAAGCGTTGCAATGCTTTAAAAATTAACTCGTAGCCTTTCAACAAAACTTGAACTTTTTTTGGGTGGGTGGGGAGGGGGGCAATTTGTGCCTGATCATTAGCACCACCTCTTGTTCGGATGCTGAAAGGAAGATGTCTTCCGCAACTTTGCGATGGCTTTGCGATCGATAGGAGGCTTTTTCTCAGACGCCTAAAATGGACGCCCGTCGGTGTCACGTGATCTTGAGATTTTGATGAGAGCGAGCTTTGTCTGCCGTGGACAATAAATAAATCAGCAAATCTCAAATCATCCGTTTCAAGTATCCGACATTCTGAATCGCCACTTTTAGCAAGCTGGTTCTTGCTCGTCCGGAACAACAAAAACGGGGGGGGGGGGGGAGAGCCTCCGTGTTTGGCCACTTTTTCTTTTTTTGTTTGTTCTTTTTGCAAATTTGTGTCGATGATTCTCAAACATTGTAATTGTTTTTGTTCAACAAATAGGAGCCACTTATTTGTCTTTGTGTAATGAATTCTCACTGTGCCTGTATGAAATGTATAATATATGAATATATACAAATATATGAATGACTACTTTAAACTTGGTGTCATTTATTTCAAGCTATGGTTTTTGTGGTTCAATTGCACACAACATGCTTCACGCGGAAAATGGACTTTTGGCTTTGTTTGCGATGTTCAGCTTGTTCGTGTCCCGACAGCAGCCTGCGGCTGTTTGCACGAAGACTGCCCCAAAATGTTCTCTGTTGATGTCGGCGAGCGATGAATTGGAGCCCGCGGCCTTCCGCGCTCGATCCCGCCGCACGGCGGTGAGTGGCGAGAAGGTCTTCGGGCCTGCTCCCCGCCAAAGGTCGGCGAGGCTCCGTCGCATCTGACAACCGGGCGGTCCGTACCACGACAGCTCCCGTGTGAGAAGCGGATGCAACTATTTTGTTGGACGCGGAGCGAAGAGCACTCCCGCGGCTTCCTTCCCGATATTTGCGGCGACGGCCGGGACCGGCCCCGAAAGGCCCGAGTGCTTCGGGTCTATTTGAACAAGTCAACTTTCAACGTGGTTGTCTGGTGTCGATGTGGCGACGCCAATGTCGGGAGGGTGTCCGGCGTCTTTGTTGTCCGTGTTTGTCTAAAGGCCCGGCGGAGTGGGAGGCTCCCCGCCCCGCCCGCATCGCTGACTTTTATGGACCATTTCGAATGGATGTGACGGTTGGCCCTCGGCGAAGAGAACCATCTGAACAAACAAGAGAAGAGGATGCTGTAACTCAGTTGCGCGAATACGGACTGCCCGCTGCTCCTCGGATTGCCCATCCCACCGGGCCCTCTCGCGGTATCGCTCGGTCTCCCTTCCCCACTCCCAAAAGATGCAGCTAACCAGGCGACCAATCGAGTATATGGGCAACAAACCAGCTGGCCAATCATTCGAAAGAAGCCATCAAACAACCACCAGCCAGCCAGCCAACGAGGCTACCGCTTCTCAACTCATCAACCAGTTCGCAAACCAATCCAGCAAAGCCCATCGTCCTGCATTGCCCTGCCAAACGACAACAAAGCGCGGGGCAACACTAGCCTCCTGGTCTATGCTGTTTGGGGTTTTTTTGCGGGGGTGGGGGGGGCATCAAATGGCCTGCCACGCAAGCAACCACCCAAATTGCCGCGAAGCAATTGGCGCGCCAACATCTCAACTGATCAATCCGCCAAAGCCCGTTCATCCTGGAACCGAGCGTATCAACCACCCAGTCGGCAACTCAAACCACTTGAGCCACACGGCTGGCAAAGGGCCAGCCAATTCTCCCAAAATGGCCGTTCAACCAAAAAAGCAAGCCACCAGATTCCATCAATAACCACCGAACGGACCGACCTGTCAATGACCTCCAAAGTATCCGCCCTGGCGAGCAATCAAAATGGAGCAACACCCTAAACCACGCCAGTCCCGCCTGCCTTCTGCGTTCCTTCTCGAGACAAAACGGGGAGGATTCAAACGGCCAATGCGGAGCGGGCTCTGGGGAGGGGCGGCGGACCCTTCCGTGCCGTCTTCACAGAGCCGTGTCACATACGATTTCGTCATGGTAAGCGAGTGTGTACGTTGGGAAAGGAGGCTGAGTGTGGGAAAGGGGGGGGGGGGGGGGGCGGGGCTGACTCAAACGTGCTCCCATCCTCTCTCCAATCATTGCCTCTCAAAAATCGGAAAGAAAAAGACAACCGAGACAACGCGGTGGCGTACGTGCCGCAATGGGAGTCGGTGCGCAACCGCCGTGATGTTCTAGTCGGCTTTCCCTGCCGTTTCATGTCGCCAAAGGTGTGGAACGGGAGAAGGGTACGGGAGTGGCTCAAGTAGCCCTGTCTGAAAACACACCGGAAGTCAGCCGCTTGGCTTCATGGTTTCGGCCACTTTGGTTTGTTTGTTTCCAGCATGTTCAACCAATTGGAATCGCTTCTTACCGACATTCCCAAGAGACCCGAGTCCCGTCTTTTCAGGGCGGATTTGGTGCATTTTGCGCTATGTACGGACATTTGCCATATTCAAAACCTGTACGGGCGAGAATGCTCATTCCATTGCACCCCGGGGACCTTTGGAAAATTCAGCTCCCAAAGACATTTGAACTTCTCAACATGTGATTTGGAAGACGCGTCCGTCGCGAGGAGCCCCGCAATGAAGTCTCAACAAGTCACGCTTGTGAAGACGGCAACTGTGCCGTTTTGCTTTCAAGACCCCTTCGGTATTTTCTTCTCCGTTTTAGAGGAACGGCCTAATGAAGCCCAAGCCCAAGGGGTCAATGCAACACACGCAATTCCTCGTCCGGTTGATAAATATTTGGAATTTCCTAACTGAAATTGAATGTGCGCTGCTTCGATTCCGGGGGGGTCTTTCAACACATATGGACACGCAACTGTGCCGTTTTGCTTTCAAGACCCCTTCGGTATTTTCTTCTCCGTTTTAGAGGAACGGCCTAATGAAGCCCAAGCCCAAGGGGTCAATGCAACACACGCAATTCCTCGTCCGGTTGATAAATATTTGGAATTTCCTAACTGAAATTGAATGTGCGCTGCTTCGATTCCGGGGGGGTCTTTCAACACATATGGACACGTCGTGTGCTTGTCTCGCGCGCGCGCGTGTGTGTGCGTGCGTGCGTGCGTGTGTGTGTGTGTGTGTGTGTGATGATGCACAGGAAATCATGTTCGCACGTCACTCCGTCGGCATGAACAATTCATGAATACGCGCACGCGCCTACTTCTGTTGTGCAGAGAGCAGATGGTTGTTTACATTCTTTATTTGTCGGCATCCTTCAGCAAATGTAGCATGCGTGGAGCACGCAGAGCTCCGGAGCGTGTCGCTGGCGTGTTGCAGCTCGCGGAGGGCGGCATGTCGCGTGATCGAGGAGCTTGACGTGCCACCCCGGCATCGCTCGATAACTTGTGCGTTGAAGAGGAAGAGAGCCCTCGCGACGCTTTGTCCTCTAAGTGCAGCGAACGTTTTCAAACACACGTCGGCGTCATAAAAAGCGGACTTTTTTGACAGGGGTCCTTGCGTTTCAAGTCTAGGATGCATTGCGAGCGGGAAAAAAACGTGGCACGAGCGCGATTATCCGAGCGACCCAGGAAGTATACATCCCGGAAATAATTCGTTGGATTGAACTGAAAATACGCACAACAAATGAAACGGGATACAGTTTAAAACCAAACCATTTTTATTTCACAATAAAAGAAAAAAGTGGGAGATCGCGATGCGCCGGTGGGGTCTCGGGGGACAAGGGTGGACATTCAAGACTGAGCCTTCTTCTTCTGGCTCGTACATTTGTATTGCATCTCTTCTCGAGGGCCTCGGTGCTGCCGCAGCGCGTTGTGGCACAATGTGGTACTACACTTAAAGCCTCACAACCGCGGACGTCTCGATTTGTCTGTACTGTGCTTGTATTTTCTTTGGCTTTTGACTAGCATGCGAGTTGAACTGTTCGTCTGTCACTTGGCTTGTTTTTTTTCTTCGGCTTTTCTTGATTTATCTTTTTTTTTTTAACCAGCAATCCCCGGTTTACTTCTTTTCTCGCGTGTATGTATTTCGCTGTAGAAGCCATATTTCG